AACGTTATTTATTGTTTAATTTTAGTTTTGAAAAATGATTTAAATTAAGGAAAAACATATTTTTATTCACTAATTTTAATTGTCCCATGAAAATTATCAGTCACGTGACATTTAGAATCACGTCATCACATTTCAATAAACACGACTAACAAATCAGTGGTGACAGATATATTTATTATTTTCTAGTCTATCTATCTAGTAACAAAAACTGTGTCCTAAATTGTAATTAAATCGATGTTGACTTTCTATAATGAGGCTGACTTAGCATAATCGCCCTACTGGTTGCATTCGTTTACGTTAAGTTTATTGAAATGTGACGTCACACGATGCTCCGTCATGGCCGCCTGCGTTTTGATTCTTGTGATCCACAAATTATAAATAGCAAGTTATTTTTTCAAAAAAAAAAAGATTTTAAAATAATAAAATATTACTTCATTGTTATTTTAGTAAATAGTTAGTATTTAAAACATATTTCAAAATAATTTATTGTTATGACTATCATGTAGCCAATTAGTATTTTTTCATCACAATAATAAACTCAAATATTTTCAGGCGATTTCAAATTCGAAAAGGAATAGGTTTTATCTCCGTCGGGCATGTAATCTTTTGCTTATTTTGTTTTTAATTTGGTGGAATATTTCGGGAATATGAATGAACTGAATATTATTTATTTATTGAACATTTATGGCTATTGTAATAAAATGGTAATGAGATAATTCTTCACATATGTATTTAATGATGAGGCTGTCATTATATATAGATTATATAAGTATATTTATATGTATGTGTAAAAATTTATGATCATCTCAAAGACTTCAGTAAAGATTAAGATATAATTTTTGGGTATTACAGTTTTAGTCGAGTTTGGAGTTCGAATATTAAAGTTTTAGAGCATCTTAAAGGATCTGAACTCGTTAACATCTACCAAACAACACTGGGGACGTGTGGTGGGTCATAGGCTCATGGCCCATGCTCCCTATTCGATTTGATTCCATACATGGGGAAGGCATGAGCCCCAACAGTGGGGACATTAAGTGCTGACTTATTATTTGTTTTACAATTGCAACACATGAGCTTCTTGGAAATGAATAATAGTCATAAAGATTTCTTGCACTTTGCATTGGTATGGAACATGTTCTATTGAAGTTTTATTCGAATACTTACGAGTCTACCTAATTGTACTAAACAAGAATAGTCCGAATGGCTGTCTATATTAAACATGTAATAACGATTAATGTTAAGAGGTCTAATGAACTAACAGATACCAATCACACGGGATCACTGAAAATACCAATATTATTTCTGTATTCATTATGTCTAAGATTGCAATGGAACAACATACTTCATTAATTACAGTGATCAACAAAAAAAAAATGTATGTTATTTAGTTAATATTTTCTGATTTATTATTTATGAAATCTTATGCTCTGGTATTACATGTAATGAAGTTTTATTTATGTGTTTTTTTTTTATTATTTGTAGTAATAGGTAAATATTTATAAAAAATATGCAATTCCAACAAAGAAAAATAAGAGGTATTATATGTAACTTTAAAAATTGTCTCCTAACTCTCAATTGACACAAAGTTTTCTATTATTTGCCTATCTGAAAAAGACACATAAATCGCTAGATATGCGAATGAACGATACGTAATGCAATATTTAAAGAATTATCCACTAGCTCTTATTAGTTAAGAAGTTTAACCTTCCATCATTTGGTCAGCAACATGAGATGATAAATATCAAACTAAATTACTTTAAAAGTCTTTAGAAAATATTTAAAACACATTAAGAGTCCTTATACGGGCGACCAAATATTTATTATCTCGAACTCCTCCGAGCTTCGGAAGGCACGTTAAGCCCTTGGTCCCTGCTGTATCTGCAGTAGTTAACACCCACCAATCCCCACAGGACCCGCGTGGTGGGTTATTCTCCCATAGGATTGGCCTGAGCTCCAGCAGTGGGGACTTTAAAAGGTGATAAAAAGTCGTTATATGTTCTTCATTTTTCTTGGAGCCTTCATTAGATCTTGACTAAATGAAAGTATACCGTTTTAAACAAAAAGAAAACCCAAAACTCAGGTAAAAGATTTGCCAAAATATATACATTGCAACTTAAATAAAAGCTTGGAATATGGAGAGAGTATAAGCGGGCATTTAATTTCGGAACATTTATAGGAAAACTTTTTATGTTAAAATACCAGCGTGGGTAGACAGACGTCTGCAGCCTTGATATAAAATGTAATTGATAGAGAAATTAGACGATGTCTAGAGCAATACATGAATTATCGAAGTTGGTAGGTATGGACAGAATTTCGTATAAACTCTTCAATAATTCAAGATTTCAGCATCTGTTAATCCTGAATTCTGAGGTTCTTTAAAGAAAGTAGCGGTGACGTAATTAAAATGCAGATAATTCATTTCATTTGCAAAAATACTTTAATGATTAATAGAATTTATTGTATAAAGAATTAATAAATTATTAAATATGTAAGTAATCTTCAAAGCTGGAGAAACACTACTTATCATTTATCAGATTACAATGAATTGTAAATACAACATGTAAATGGGACATATTCTATTTCTGGTTTTATTTTCTTGGAAACGTTTTTGTGTAATACTGCTCAAATTAGTAACTAGGAATTCAAATTGACGTTCAGTAGATTATTCAAACAGTATAATTGGTGACATTGTGTTCGAGAGCAGTTGTAATACTTGTAATTGTAATCTGCGTATACAAATAGCTGGCTCGCAAGATCACAGGAAGGGGCAGGATCGGGCGCACCTGCGGCGTCATGCGCCGACGCACATATACAGCTGAGTTGAGTAGCATTCCTCATACAATATACATACATATTGTACAGTTAACAGCACGACAGGTTAAATAAATCTGTCGAATGTCTTCACTTAACTCTAAAGATTAAAACTGAGGGTGGTTTTAAAAGTTAATTGCGATAATTTGATATACTTATAACATACATAATATACAAATCTGTCAAACTCCACTTTGACACACATAATATACAAATCTGTCAAACTTCACTTGATATTAAACTTTAATATATTGACAGTAGAGTTTAAAATCAATTACATAAACTTGACATGTTGTGGTATCCTGACGTATAGCCGTCCGTTACACGTGGCAAGTGGCGTCTATCATAAATTTCAATAGAATATTATATACAAAATGGCACCCGGTTGCGTAGTGGTTGGCGGTTAGATGCGAAACTTCAGCAAAATAGGTTTGTCTCGACTGCATCTGAAGTCGTATACTCCCACTACTCCGCAATGAATAATGGGTTAGACTACTTGAAAATAAAGCAGGTGTAAAGTACATACCTCTATATAGTTTTACTTAAAAAGATTAACAAATTTTTTTTTCTAAAATTGTGGTTTTGATTAGTCACTTTTTTATATTTCTATTACACGAAAGTTTTATTTGTACTCTTTTTCATAGTTGAATAGAAGGCATAGTCCTTCTTTACTAAAAAAGTAATGTTTTTATAAATTCGTTAAAAGAATATAACTGCAAGATACAATTTTTGTTTTATGGCAAGACAGTCAAAAGCGTTTAGTTGTCAACAAAATAAGTTTACCAGAATTTATTTTGTTGACAATTATTATATGTCATGTAACTATTTTCATTTGTTTTATTTCGCCATTTTAAGTTAATATTTCAATTTGGTGCCAACTTTTCCAATATGTATATTTTGTCAAAATCAGCCAATCAATATGAATATTCGAGAATGATTTCGTCGCCTAAAAATGTCCCACTGCTGGGGCTCAGGTCTTCTTTAATGATAGGCCCAGTATGGATTCGTGGGTATTAATGAAGATGCAGCCGGGACCAACGGCTTAACGTGCCTTCTGAGCACAGAAGGGCTCGTGACAATAATTTTTGGTCACCCATCCTACAACTTACCATTGCAAAAGTTACTCAACAACTATATCACAGACCGAGCGCGCTAATAATTGCGCCATTAAGCTCCTTTAATAAAATCAAAGAGAATGATTGATGTGTTTTCAATCCATAGGTATTCATTTTTAAAGAGCACTAAAAGCACATTTTGAGACGATTTCTCATATCCATTCTTGTAGAATATTGCGACGTTTAAAATAAAACAGACTCTCATCCTATTAACATGGTTGAAACTACTAATTTCTTAATCAATTTCGTCATTTGAAATTAAAAATGTGTGATTATCAATCCGGTTGTGAAGCAGATGGTTCTCGTCCCGTACTCTTACGTCAGAGGCGCCAACGTGATTTGGAAAGTAACAATGATAATGTATGGCTCTAACTTAAGTGGTTCATAATATTGTTTGCTTATCTTTTAAACGAGCTGTTCCTGCGACTTTACCCGCGTAAATTATAGCCTAAATAAGGTGGTGGTGTTATACGGTAGGTGTTATTTGAATACTTTAGGAGCCTATATTATACATTTTTATTTCGTGATTTTTGTGTGATATTGATTTTTCTTATGTAATTAAAAAAAAGCATTAAATATTTATATTCATCATACAGAAATTCTTAGAAAAGGATATCGTTTATTTGCTCGACATATTTTTTTCCAATAATCTGTATAGATTAATATTATAAATATGAAAGATTTGATTGCTTGTTTGATTGCATTGGATGGGCTCCAAAATTATTAGGTCTATTTATAAAAGTCTTTCGTCTACGGGACGCTACATAGTACGCGGCGTATATAGGCTATAAGTTGCGCAGGTGAAATCGCGGCTGATCAGCTAGTTAATTTATTTAATTTTTATTATTATTATTATTTTTTTATTTTTTATTTTATTCTCGATTTTTTTTTTTGTGTACCATTTTTATTTCTATTTATATTATTTTTTGACATTATATCTTCCCGATACTACTATTCATTCGATTATATTAAAAAATTATTTTGTCCCCGCTCATCTCATTCAGGGTGATGGCTGAAAATCGGTGCTTCATCCGCATTAGATGATTTTAGTGCACCGAGCCTAGACCCTTTTCTCAACTGCTGCACACAGATATATTTCTATTTCTTGTTCCTCTTTGTTTCTTTTGTGTGATGTAATTGTGTGTTGCTGAGAAAATAAACTTTTTATCTATCTATCTATCTATCTAGTTTGATAGAAATTGGTTAACAATAGTTATCCACCTTTCGGATTGTGAATGAATTCACAATAAGTAATCTTTTGTTTTTTTTTAGCTGAAATAACTATATCATCTTAATATTTTGGTGATATCTGGCGAAAAGCGTATTTTGTTTGTTATAAAAGGAATACTCCTGATTCGATTTCAATAACATTAAAATGGGACAACCTCGGTCCATTAAGCTATCGAATAAAAAAATAATTTTGAAAACCAGTCAACAATTAGCGGAAAAATCGGTGAACATATATAAAAAAAAAAATATACATCGCCGTCATACATATAACGATTTTAAAGTCGGTTAACAAAAGATAATATCCGTTAAGGTTTACAAAAATACACATTTATTTAATAAGTGTATTATAAATATGTGTAATCTTTAATTGAACTCAATTTTCAGTTGTATTATGCTTTTTATCATTCTTTTTTTTTAATTCGGTATTTACTGTTATAGGTCTCTATGGGTTTTTCTGTGTTTGACCGCATCCACTCTTTTCTAAGTTAAAAATGTTGAATTGCTTTCGCTAAATGTAACTTCAATTAAATGTGAACTTCGAAAAAGAAACTGTTTTTGATTATTAATAATATTCTTTACAAAATTTTATACAAGAAATTATTTGAATAAGTAAAAATATCTCTTGAAATAAATAAATATTCGGAAGGTGTTATTTGAATTCAAATTGTTCATAATCGATATATATGCTTATTTAAAATCGACTGACCAGAAAAGATTAATTTAATTTACTTTATATTTTCACTCCAATTTTTTTTACAAATAAATAAAATTAGAGGGCTGTTTTAGATTTAAAAAGTTTAATCAGAAACTATCCGAATATTATTAGAATTCGAATTATCTGAAAAATTACAAATAAAATCCTAACCGCAGAAAAACAGCTCTCGATCGGTCGTCAGTCGTCACTCGTTGTGTTCGTTAAAAAAACAAGTTTATTTTTTCCTGCGCATGAGCGTGTCAAATCGTCCGATGGCCCTTGCCTGAGAGTTCAACGCAGTACCTTCACTACTTCATTTATTTACGATCAAATTACATTTCTATTGGAACGATTTTTTTTAAGAACATGGCTTACACTCTTAAAATCTTAATTCGATATATCGTGAACTGCTTCATCCCCTGTCCTGCTCTAATTTACGTTTTTTATGCAGCAGAGTGGAACGGAGCTTGATGGAGTTCGCAATATATCGACAAAAGCACGACCCCTATATTTAAAACTTCGTTTCTTTCGTTTTATGTTTAAATATCACTTATCTATTTATACATAATATAAAACAAAGTCATTTCCCGCTGTCTGTACGCTGAGATTTTATAAACTACACAACGGATTTGCTAGTAGCAAAAAAAATTGAATCGAAAAACGCTTTCGAATTCCGTATATAAAATTGAAAAGACTAAAAAGGAATTGAGAGGAAATGTCAACATATCCATTCTACATAGTTATAATTTTGTCATTTTAGTAAAAGATGAAAAATATAAGAAATATTATTTTTGAGAAAGCATTTCATTTTTCTATTTATATTCTATTTAAATAAATAAAATTTCTTAAAATTGCTTCTTCGAATGTTAGGTAATGTTCTAGTGGTTCTTCACTGAATCCTTCAAAATTACAAATAAATATTCTCCTAACGGATCCACTTACAATTCAAAAGTGTACTTTTAAGAGGGAGTCTTACGTCTTAAGAATAGAGTTAATAAAGATTAAGTAGAAAAAAGTTTTGTCGGGCCATTTGTCCTGAAGGCTCACCCATTTTTTTCGAGGTTTATCTTAGTAACCGTTTCCCAGACATAATGGCTCAGATGGATTAGAACAGCATCGATGATGCTACTGGCCATATAAGATATATTAAAAAATGCATCTGTCTAAACCCTCATGAAAAAAAACTAAGCACCAATGATAATACTTTCTTTTCGTTGGTACGTAACTTTAGACGTTTCGTTGGAATGATAAAAACAAAGACTCGACTCTACTTTCTTTATCTAATTCAGATACCTAATGTTAAAACTATGACAAAGCCTGTAAAACCAATTCAAGATAACTTCATAGTTGACTAGAAAATTAAAACCGGTTTTAGAAGTTATAACTAATAAACGTTGGGAAATACCTTCGGCATTTATAGAGTCAGGTTATAGAATAAGGCATTTTGTTTTCTGAAAGTAGTCGCATAATATTAAACGACCGGTTCACTGAATGGGCGTAAATGTGTGAACGCGGAAGAGAACGTGCAGGAAAATTGAAATCAGCAAATAAATCGCTCAGCATTTCTACGTAACCGTGTCTTTCGAAGTGATTGATAATTTACGAAGCGTTTAACAGAGTCGTTGCATCACGAGCGTACATAGAGCTGCCAGCGGCGGCCAAGATTCGGTGGCAATGTTCATGCAGGAATTCATTTCGCCTCGAGAAGTGTCCGGTTTCAGTCTGGCACGTCGAACGCTCATATTTCGTTTAGTATTTATTTATGTATAGGTCGGGCGCAGGTTCTATCAGCGGCGCTGCGGGCGAAGCGGCCGGCGGCCCAGGGGGGCATACTTACTACGTGATTAATCCGCCCCCCCCCCCCCCCCCTCCCTTGCCGCGGCGGCCGGGCGCTCCGTACTCGCGCCGGGTTTCCTCGTCCCCGCTCCTCACGGCCACTCACTACGCACGGAGCTCCGCGTAGTGCCGCCGCCAGTCGCTCTGCGACCCGCGCCGAAGTCGCATTTTATCCGTCTGTTTTGCGTGTAACCGTGCTATCGTTCATGCTAATCTCCGTTCGTTGATTTCTTTGCCGAGTGACCGAAGAGGAACCGGCGCGTGATATCGCGAGTGTCGAATGTTCGTGGACGTCACGCCCGTGTACTTTTCCACCGAATTCCGAGCGTAAATAACCAGTTCGAAGTGACGGACGGCGCCTTCCCTCGGATGAGATTTCCGAGCGACGAGCGCTGCTGTGACCTGTGGCCTGCGATGCTGCGCCCGTGACCGTCTCGCGACAGTGTCACGAAACGTAAGGATCTGTTCGTTCATTCGAGCGGTTCGCGTGCACAGGCCGCCTTCCTATTTGCATGGCGCATACAAGTGGATTTTATTTTCGTCTGGGTGGCGATGTGTGCGAGCGTGCGCGTGTGTGCGGTGGCGTGCGGGTGTGCGTGTATGTGCCGCGTCCGCCGAGACGGCTATGGTTGCTCCCTGCTGGCCCGCTTTATTTAGGTTGTTTCTGAGCGTGTCAGCTCCCGGCGCCCGCCGCCACCACTGCTACCTGTGTCGTGCCTGATCGAAACTGATAGTCTCTTTTGTTCTTGATGATCTTAAGCCAACTGGCTGTTCGGTTACTCGCAGCGTCTCTGCCAATGGCTCTATAGGAACTCCGTATTATGTAAGTACATAAAGAACGTGTAGTCGCTTATCTATATTTCGAATCAGATGAACAAACAACTAGAGAGTCATTCAGCTATTATATTCATAGTGTAAACCCTTGAATTGTAAGATATTATCTTAATCCTTACAAAACATAATACCTACATCACTTTAAAGTTGTATCATTGTATAATATAGCATAATATATCAATCAATTTAATACATACATACCTAAGTTCTTGATTTTAAAACGTTATGTCATAGTTATAGTGCACTCTGGTTGTGTTTTCTTAGAAATTTCTGCATAGTAGGTAGGTACGGCTTGACATCTCAAGACGTTTATTATTTTCATTGTGACAAAACTCATGTAAGTTACCTGATAAATACAACTTTATTCCTATATGTATAAACTAGGTCGGCATAACTTTCGTTTCTATCTTAAGCCTATATCAAAGCAAAAAATACAATTTGCAAATCGAATTGCATTCTTTCTATTCCGATTCTATTTGATATATGAATAGAACTTAGATACTATTCAAATAGTCAAAATATTTTTTTCTGTTAACAAAAAGGCAACCTATGATTCTAAACCATTCTATTTTTAATGGTCACTAACAACTATAGAAGAAGTCTATAAAAAGATAGAAATGTCATTTTTAATGCGTTTGTAACGTATAGTTATACTAAATATTAGTTTACATAAAAATAAAATTAATATTACAGTAACACACAACCATTACACAAAGACAAATTATCAAAACGCAGAGTTCCGTTATTGGACGCCGGAGACAGAGTTAAACGGTAATTATTAAGCAGAAAAAAACATATTACTTATGCTGTATGTATAACATTTTGTTGAGGAAATCAATAAGTTAAAGTTAACAACAGTTCAGTTATGCGATAGGTTTTAACATAAACCCATTTCATATGGTTATAAAGGTTTTATTTGAATACCTATACCTTCAATCAAATGAACCTCCAATGCTGTAACGTCGCTTTTCGTTCAACACTGTATTTGTAACAGAATGGCAAAGCTGAAACACCGATTCGGTTTATACGACTATATAGTAGAGCTTCCAGTTCCCCATTGAATAATCATCATTTTTTTTCAAATAAAAAAGAATTAAACACTTAAGATACTCAAAACAATTAAAGAGAAGAAACCTATTTCAAAAAAAGGAAATAATTGGTTAATTTAAAAACCGTTGTGTAGTTTAAAATATTTAAGGGTTCAGACAGCGGGAAATGACTTTGTTATATATATACTATGTATAGATTATTTATTTATTTTGTATGCTAATGCTTATTAAAAAAAGACAGCATATATATTCGAAATTAATAAAGTATAAGTTTGCCAAAATAAGTAGAGATCTAACGGTTAATCTAAAACAAAAACATCTAAAAGGATTTTCCTAAGTTTTTTTTTAACAATTAGAAGTAGAATTTAGTTGTGTTAATAATACATTATAAAATAAAGCATTTAATGTATTATCAGATAAATCGCTACGCCTAATTTGTAAGGAATAATATAATTACATAATTGACAACTGTAACTTAAGAATTTATAATCTTGAAATTAAGTCGACGTATTAATTGCTTAGACTAAGGTCGCGCTGGTTAACTGGTTTATAGCTTATAAATGGAGTCTTTCTGAACGGCCTTTGGAAAATGTTATAAGACCACGACCAAATAAGTGTTTTATAAAGTTCAATTTGAAATAGTTACAATAAAATCTAAATCCAGTGGGAATCGGTGGGTGTAAATAAATTTAGATACTGCGGGGACCAACGGCCTTCCTAAGCACGGTGGAGCTCGAGGTAATGCATTTTTGGTCACCCATCATGACCATGCCGGGTCTTGAGAAAATAACATAACTTCCGCTATCCATTGCGCCATAACCTATTTTGTCTTTAAAAAGATTCTCTAAATAGTTATTCATAATAAGCTCATAGCAAGATAGTCAATTAAAATTTTATATTAGAGATGGCGACAACATGACGTATGATGTCGAAATAATCAATAATGCAATAGAACCTTAAGCATTACTTACATATTCAATTACATACCATCATAATATATTACAATATGTATGTTGAAAACTTAATTGATACGCATACGAATTAATTTTGTAATCTCGTTACATAATTATTACGATTCAATTCTCTGGGCTTCGAATTTAAGCGCAGTAATTTTTGTAATATATCCTTTTTAATTAATGGTAGCCGAAAGAAATGAGATCTACGTTAGAGTTACCGTAATATTTTTTTTTTTTTGGAAGAGGTTGGATGTGTTTGTTTATATGTAGTAATATGATTTGAAATTACTTTAAGTATGTACTAAACAATGCTACGAGTAGATGTACTGCTAAAATAAATTAGGTAAAAAATTTGCAAACATATAATAATCGTTATTTACTAAATCTAATTATGATCTGTAGAATAATAAAAAAAAATCTCCTGTAAAAAAATTGTACATTTATATATACTTGCTCCTTTTTCGTTAATATATAAAAAGATATTGGAATATTAAAATTGTATATTAATAAGTACACAGACAGTCCCAAGTACATAAAGGAAGATGTAATTTACCCGTTAATTAAGCAGACTTTCTATCTTGTTGCCCTTTTTATATTACTGTCTTCTTATCAGTAACAAATTATGTTGTTATTGTAGTACAAACGAAACATGTACTAGGCCGATGTTGATGTTATTAATTTGTTTAAATTTAGAACAAGTAGGAAAAGTACATGTCCGTTGTGTTCAACTTCGACCCACCGTTAAACGTTATTAATTTACGCTTTAACTGTCCTTATGTGTAACAGTTAAAGTTCAGAATTGAATTTATTAATCGTTATCTTTGAATGGACTTTATTACATAAACATTTGTCATCACTTAATTAACTGTTGTATTTGTTTTTAAATATAGTAGCTTTGAATGGTCTGTTTAGTTTAAATTTACGAATTATCGGACGGCTTTCGATATGACGATAAAACTGTGAATATTCTTTAATTGGACGCATTAGTATTTTATAAAGTTCATTTGAACGCTTACGAATAGAAATAGCTCTTCCAGATACCCGGAAAATCGATACGACTTCTCCTATGATTTTAAGAAAAATCTGTAATATCTACAATTTCATTTGTATTGGGCACAATTTTGGATTTCATGTTGTTGTATAATATTACAAAATTCTCAGTAAACAACAAAGTTCCAAGTACTCGAATTGATGTATTCCTTCAATAAAATAAATAAGTAAATTTATGCCTGCTGTAAATAAAAAAATAGGTCATTATTAATATTAGGTACATTTTCTCCAACGCGGTTTGTATGTGATGTTATCAGGTTGCTGCCGCGTTCAGTTTTATCTGGCTATCAACACATTAGCCGATAACGGGCGTACCTGCATATTCTACGAAGTTATGCAAGCAAGTGTGATTTACATTGAATGAATATTCTTTAACAGCAAGTTATTATTAAATTATGTCTATATTTTTGTATTTTTTTTTCTATACTGCCGTGCCGTTTCTTTAACTGCGCCATTGACAAATGTTAAGAGTATTATCCTGTAATAAAAACCTTGAACTAGCGGTCAAGCACAGTATAGAGATTCATGAAATAGAACCTACTTCATAACGTTTTATTCCATTTAACCATTATGCTTTGGCAGCGCTATGCCCGACGTCGAATTCTAGGCTGATTTTATTACAAATAAGCAAAACTGCCCTGCGATTCTGTAAAAATCCAGACCCGAATTCGAATTCACTCATGTGTCCGAATTCACGTCATTTAGTGTAAAAATTCTATTGATTCTATTTTTTTTGTATAAAAATACAAAACAAAATTGATTGAATACACGAGTCTCAGATATTCTATTCCTATATCATTTCGAAACTCACTTCACTTATGTTACGAAACGTTATTACCAATTCAAGGTTGAGCGTATGCCTCTTTTTGAAGTCAATTCGGACACCTGAGAGAATTCGAATTCGGGTTTGGAGTTTTACAGAATCGTAGGGCTGGTCTGGCTATTTCTACGCTCCTTCGCGGTCTATGCGTAGACATCATCGTCAGCACTGCCCTGAATGCGGCACTGGTACTTTGTTCATTTAGAAGATTAGAATAAAAAAAATACAATATTTCAATAATAATATGATATCAACCCTTTTGAATGAATCTCAGTATTTGTAAAGTCATAAGATGAATTGGTATAGTATTTAGTTAAATTAATATTATTATTATATTTTAGTTCAGAGGATATTTAAAAACCACATAATAATATCAGAATTTTCCGGTATTGACTAAGTTTTATAAATATATTGAATTTAATGAAAATGCACAATACCTATTAAAAGATATATCGTTCTAATTATAATTTTTCCTGCGAATTGAACACCATAAACATTGTTATGATAAATAATATATTCTTTGTATCAACAAATGTAAATGGATAATTTTAAGATAAACCAAAATAAAGATTGGATAATAAAGAAACAGCTTCGAAGTCCACTATGAATGCAACGTTGTCACTTCAAAGAACTTTAAAGAAAAAAGCTTTAATTACTTTTTATAGTAGGTTTTATTTGATTGAATCTCTATTCTATGATAGAGCTGCATTCGTTGACGAGTTCGAAGCTTTTTTTATTACAGTAT